CATTTTTCTGTGTCAAATCACGAATTCCGTCCATTCCACAGCCTTGAGCTAATAAATTTGTGTCTTGAATTCACATTTCATTGTAGACAAAATGTATAATTGGATCAGAGTGATCAGAAAACTCACTCAAAAATTTGGCCAAATCTCTAAAATAAAAGCACTTTTTTGGCCCCTAGGGCCTTCCAAAAATTGCGCTGACACCCATATTTCAGGGCAGAAAGCGACGGGTAATTGGTATCAGTTTTCAACCAGCAATAAACGCACCTCGGCTAAGCCTCATTGGTCACGTTATCGCCTCTGCGCAAAGCTGATTTGAGGGAGGAAATGGAAGGGTATAGGGAAAAGGCGTGTGCCAGAAAGCGAGTGGTTACGCCGCCGCACAGAAAACAAATCGAACAGCAAAGAACCTTTTGATATTAGTGCATTAGTGATGCCCCATTAGTGGCAATACATTCTTCTCTTTCCCGAGTTGTGGAAAATCAATTCTTTGACAACCTTGCATTGTCTGTTTTAATTAGTTTTAACATTTATTTGCTGTACATTATGTGGGCAAAATTTCTGGGGAAATCTCAAAAGAAGAAATTCGAAATTTATTCGATCAATATCGACCTAATTTGGAATCCCTGCGAAGTGCAACTTCAAAAGAAATTTAGTGTCACTCTAATGACCTTCCACTGTCGTTAAAGCTTTTCGAATGTGCGAAAACTAGAACGCTCTTTATAATAAAAAAACGTAATTGTGGAAATGTTGATAAGAAATGAATGCGTTTTTGTTTAGATGAAGAACAAGTTGACAGTTCATCTGCAATCGTCTACTGTGTTCTTGGATAATGTTTTTGCTTCACGATACAAAGCGGCTATTAAGGTGTCTGGAATGAAAATACCCTCAACTTCGATTGCAATTTTTCCGGTGTAGCGAACAGTTTCGCGTCTGATTTTTGTTTTGTTTTAAAGTTATATACCTTTTCTAATTCTATATTTTTATAAAAATTTACTCCCTTATAATTTTGACTTTTTTAGAATGGAAGATCAGAAGTACCGAATTCGGGTGTGCTTGCTCTACGACTTCTAACAAGGAAAAAGTGTCCGGTAGAGCCATAGCTCAATCTTGAAAATTTTTGGAGAAGCTGCTTATTTAGAGGAAGCTTGTAAAAAATGGTTTCAACGATTTAGCGAAGGAGACGAAACTCTACAGGATCGAGTACGTGGTCACCCGCCTCCAGCGCTCAACGATGACGATCTTCGAGAAGCCATAAAAGATGGTCCAACCTTGTCGACTCGGGAGCTTGCAACGATGGTTGCTGTAGGCCACACAATCATTGGAGATCATTTACATCGTTTTGGGTAAAGCGAATCTCGTCGGAAAATGGGCATCCCATCAACTTAGTGACGCTAATAAAGCTACTCGAGTGACTATGGCCGGTAATCTTCTTCGTCAATCAAAAAATCCAGGTTTTTGGGACACGATTGTGATGGCCGATGAAAAATCGATTTACTACGATAACCCATCGCAAAAGCGGCAGTGATATAGTCCAGGAGAACAGCCAAAAACGACGCTACAACGTGATCCGGATGGAAGAAAGGCTATGTTATCTGTTTGATGGAATTCCCGTGGTCTTATACACTTTGAGGGTCTACCTTCCCTTCCAAAAGTCACCTCAGATCTTATATGTGCTAGGACGAGTAGACCAGGCTCTCAAGAATCAAGGTGTGAACACATCGACTGTGAGATATCTGCAAGATTACGCGCGCCCACACACAGCAAAGAAGACACAGGTTGGGAATGTTTCCCAGCACTTCTTGGCCGATAAACACTTCAAGGATCACGACGAAGTCCGAATTTGGGTAGGCCAATACTCGCAGCCGCAGGATTTCTTCAGCAAAGGGATCCGAGATTTGAAAGAAAAATGGAAAAAAGACTATTGCCAACAACGGAGAATATGTTTTGGATTAAAGCGCATTGTTTTCTTTTTGTGGAGATAAATTTTCTTTCATTAAAAGGGTATTTTCATTCCGGACAACCTAATAATTCGCACAAACAAATAATTGCAAAGTGAAAAACGAAAAACAACAACAACGTCAGTTTGGCACAGATTTTACAATATTCCACTGTGCCGAATACATCTCAATCTCTTGTTGTGCACTCGATGAAATTACCGAGAACTCGATCCCTCTTGAAATAAACAATGCTCAAGAAAATCTCGATTCCAAGTTTACAGCCACAAAGCATTCCCAGAAAATACTATCGTTTCTTTTACGATATATTTTACTGTCTCTTGCGATATCCAGTGTACCATTCCCTTTAGTGTTCTTATATTTCCCCGTTCTTGGACCTTTTATTTTTTGTTTAAAAATCTCCTCGAATCTTTCCCGTTTTTCTGCCACGATAATTGTTTTGGAAGTGTTTGTTGAACTTGAAGAACTATTGCCAATCAATTTTCCGGAATTTACTACAGAAAGCATTTGCAAAAAAAATAGCATACCCTTGTTAAGTGCCCCCTTGGAGGGTTCTTTGTGCACGAGCGTAATCGCTCACTTTCTGGCGAAGGGCCTCAGCTTATAGGGAGCCCTTCCTTTTCTTGAACTTGAAGAACTATGCCTTATAATCGACTTTAATTGAAGCATCTTGCACCAAGAGATACTGTAAAATTATCTCTCCAAATTTGGTTCCTTATCTGTCCAAATTTGATGGAAAGGGTGGAAACCGAAGGGAATAGGGAAAGGCCGTGTGCCAGAAAGCGAGCGATTACGTTGCCGCACAGAGAGCACCTAGTGATACAAAGAGAACACCAAGAGAACTTTTAATGCTCAAAAGCAAAATCAGGTTCAAAATCCACTGGTTTTCAGGTGGATTTTACCTTAGAAGGTATAAGTTTTCCCAAAATAATGCACAGATTTCATTTCAGTGCATCTAAAATTTTGACAAGAAAATTCCCAAAGATAAATTAATTTTAGCATCTAAACAAACAAGATAAGGTATAAAAAAGATTTCATAAGCTTTTTTTTTTCATAAAAATCAAATTCAAGTTTATTTTGTTTTTCAAAAAACATTTGGATTTTGTTTCAAGCTTTCAGAATCACCATAATACTTATAGACTCCAATCTATAGTTCTCGATTTATAGTGCTTCAAAGTTGGGGAAAAAACCGGAACTTCATATATTTTTGTTCAGTACTGTATTTTCGAGAACTGTCGTAATCGATGCTAGTCTCGATTGTCACCTGTAATAGCTAGTTAAGAGTCAGTCTTAATAACCAAGGCCCCAGTATAATGTGGTGGGTCCTTGGAGCGTACTTTGTGCCCGCTCGTAATCGCGCTCTTTTTGGCATACTTCCTTTCCTTATACCCTTTCCTTTCCTCCCTTCGCTATCTCTGGTTCGTCTGCATTTGACCGAGAAAATCTTTCGCCTTTTACTAAAGATTTCCGTGCAGACGAACAATTATGAGTATTAACGAATTTTTGGAAGTCCCCTTGAAAAAGCGGGACAAAAATTGCTAAAATGGGAGGTGGTTTCATAAATATTCAGTTGAAATTTCCAAAAATTAGAGAACTTGAAGTTGACTCATTGCAATGCTTTAGTTTCAAATCAAATCCCTCTTAAATTTTTAGTCCCAGCCAACAAGTTTTGTGCCAAATCTCCACTTCCATTAATATTCAAACCTTGAATCCACCAGTTTCAAATCCGAAATAAATAGTATTTGCTGTTCTGCAAAGAAAAGGAACATTGGTTTTCCGATGCCATTTTTCACGTCAGAGATTTCTTATCAACAATCGGAAGTCGAAACGCAAAAGTTTGCTCTTTGTTGGTTGCTCTTTCCACAATAGACCATCAAAATTGGCACCAAAATGTTGCCATTTTCAACAAACAAAGGAGTTTTGAAAAAAATTGATGTTCACTTCTTTTTCATTTCCGATTCTAAACTTGTTTAAAAACACCTAGACCAAGTTTAGCTTTCAAAACAGAGCCATGGTAAGTTTTGAGAACGACTACATAGATCTGTCCGTATGTGGAGGTGAGTATATTGAATCCTCTCGACTAATCCATTTTTTGAAAAGCACTGATTTTAAAAAGCTATAAAATAAGAATTTAGGCTAAAGATTATTTTAATAGAATGCTCTTTTCCTTTTACTAGTAAAAGATCTGTGTACTAGCCAAGCGTTCTCGGCGCGGCGGCGCATAAATTCTACCAACTGTTGGTAGAATTTATGAGTTGTGTTTATTGAAGAATATATGTAAGTAAATAGAATGGGGCAATGTATCTTACCTTGAATAACATTCATCTACCAACATATTAGCGCTATACTACAAAAATTTTTGCCTTGGAAAAATGAAATTTAAAAGTTTAAAAAGGCCTATTCCATTGTGCCACAAGGTGTTCTCTGTGTGGTCGATAATCGCTCGTTTTCCTTCCCCTATACCCTTCCCTTTCCTTTTCCGAATCAGCTTTGCTCAGAGGCGATAATGTGACCAATGAGGCTTAGCCGAGGTGCGTTTATTGCTGGTTGAAAACTGATACCAATTACCCGTCGCTTTCTGCCCTGAAATATGGGTGTCGGCGCAATTTTTCAAGGTCCTAGGGGCCAAAAAAGATTTAATTTCAGAGATTTGTTTGGAATCTTTAGGTGAGTTTTCTAGACTTTCTGATCGTTACACAATGGCTAACCATTTTGTCTACAATGAAATGTCAATTGTCAAATATAAAACGTCTGGATTTACGGAGGTTCGTGAATCGTGCTACGCGGTGAGTTGTGATCATTTTGATCTGCCTTGAAATTTAAAGGGCTGCTTTCTTATGAATGTTGAGCCTTTCTAGCAAATGCACATCGGTCTCTACGGTTCACATGCAATCCATGCTGATTTGCCAATGGAACAAAACAATCAAAAAAAGTGATGGGAATGAAGGACAATTTAGAAAAACTGGGAAAGGTGAGATAATTTTGAATGTTGTTCAAGGGTGTGAATAAATCTATTTGATCGTTATTTCTTTATTCATTCAATTACACTAAACATTTATGTGATTACAACATTCGTTACAATTTTAAAAAATACAATCAAATCACAATCATTCATTACATTTTCTTCCTTTCAATCCCTCAAAATTTCTCTTTATATTCCAATTTCCCTCCTGATGGGAAATCAATTTGATATTTGATAGTCAATTCTTTCTTATCTTGTCCACCAATTTCCACAGTATATTCAAGATTATTTGTCTGTGAATTGATCAATGATCCTTCTTTTCTTTCTTCACCCTCCGGAATGTGTTGAAGAGGGGCATGAGTCGGTGAGAGGAGACGCACCTGCAATTCAGATCGTATGGAAAAGAGAAAGAAGAGAAGATCGAATGGGTAGTGGATATTGGACTTACTGCTATAGTAGAAGTGATTTCTCCAAATGGAGACAAAATTGGAAGAGCTTAGTGAATCCCAAAAGAGAGCACAGCTTCTACTATAGCAGTAAGTGCCTTATTGTTAGCCTTTACAACTTGGAATCTGACAATCCAGTAAAAGTTAACGTTATACAAGCTTGAGTCTTGCAAACTTTAGCTTGAATCTTCAGTTTGAACGCACGATTTGAGATTTAGATCTAGAAGAATCTGATCAACAAAGTTTGCATGATAATGACTCGCAAAAAGAGTGCATCTCCTACTACAACATTGGATTGTTTCTAATCCCCAATGCAACCTGATCCCTTTCATGTTGGAATAGAATGGACTCTCACTCACCTTGATCTTCTCATCGGTACTCCTCGGCACGTGTTCTTTTATTGTCACTTTCACTTTTTCCTTTCTCGTATTTTTCACAATCACTTTTTGTTCTTTCACTTGTGTGTTATTCTTGTTGATCAATCCAGCCTAAATCTCGATGTCATTTGAAGATCTTCCATTCATTTCACTCACTTCTCCTTGTTTGTTATGTGCCGGCTTATAATCGACTTTAATTGAAGCATCTTGTCCAAGAGATACTGAAAAATATTCACCCGGAGAGACGGCTTTCAATTGAGACTGAAATCGATTATTGATTAGAGGAAGGCAACAGTAATCCTTTTGTTACCTTTGTGATGAAATTTCCATCCAAAAAGATCGCCGCTTCACCGGGAAGAAATGGTAAAGAAGAAGAATTTCGAGTGGATCCAATCAAGTAAACATTGTTATTTTTAGATGGAACACATTCATGTTGAAGATTCGGTTGGAATGAGGCGGCACCGATTGTCACCTAAAATGTAATAGTTAGTTAAGAATTAATGGCCGAGGCTTATCCCAGTATAATGTGGCGAGACAAAAGACTGGGTTTTCAGTGCTTATCTATATTTTATTCTAGATAACATTACAAACATTTATTTCAACTATTCCTTTATTACCTTATGCTCAGCTCCATCGGGTGGAATTGCAGCCGGACGAGCGATCACGAATTCCGATGAGAGAGCTTGCTCTTGAACAGTGGCTGTCTAAAAGTCGTAGATTTATTCCAATCAATTCTTGTTTTTAAATCCTTAGAGCAAGGTCCTCTAACTCACAACCACACCCAGAGCAGCCTTTCCGCATTTCATCATCATGAGAGCCGCATAGGCATACCTTCCCATTTCCATAACATGAAACCTACAATCTTTTTCATTGGCGGAGCATCGTCGTGACTATTTGCAGAACGTTCTCTTTCGTCGAACCCGTGTGGCGTGAGTACCATTTGTTGTGGTTGCTGTAGTTGAAATGCTTGATGTACCTACAAAAATCAAGTCACTTATGAATGAAGCAAGGGAAATTTACATATCTTTCCCCAACGCAAGCTTAGAAAATGAATCTTGCCATGTTTCTGTATTTCAAGACTCAAAATGGATCACTTTCTACCTGCTCATAAAAGCTGAATCCCAAGGACTTGACAAAAGGAAATTCTTTCCTTCCTCTGGTTTAGGGCAAAGATCTTTTATTTGCAAGAAATGAAATTGACTCACTCCATATCCACCGTAATTCTGTTGAGGATGAGGCTGGAAATAGAGTGAGACATCAAGAGTTCCTAATTCGGGGATACTTCCACCGACAGATGGACTGGCTGTTGAGAGGACAAGTTGACAACCGGACCATTCTTCTCCAGAGTTTTGAGAGACTCGTCCAGAGTAGGTGATCTGCAAACATTCAATAGATGAACAATTCAATATCATAAAACAAAGGTCAATTTGGTTTTTACACAAGTTACTCACATTCATATGTTTCTCCTCCTCTTTGCTATCGACTCGAATATCATAAGATGGCCTCCAGGAAGCATTGTACACTTGATAGTTCATTGTCAGTGACGCCTCTCCGGCTTCTGGTGACTCCAAAATCACGGTCACAGCTCTGAATTTGAGGTTTACTTTAATAACAATTTTCTGTTCCAAATCTCACCTAACCGATCCCGGGTATTCATATCGATTGAGCTCATTTCTGATCACTTGAACTTTCTCGTTTGACCCGTTCTCTTCCTTTTCCAAAGACCATTCCGAATCACTAAAACTGTCATATTTCGAATTTGGCTGAATAATTCTAAATTACTTGAACTGAAGAACTTGATTCTCGTAATATTCAAAGAGACTTCCAATTCCCTCAAAAGTGTCCGCGTTGAATTGAACTAATTGGGCGCCTTGAGTGTTTTCAAGCTAAATTTAAAAAATAATATACCTAAACGTTTCATAAAATTCTACAAGTTCGACAAAATTTTCAACTCCAAACCTTCCCAATGAGTGCATCAAGCACTTTTATTTTCTTCTGCAAAATCTTTCTGCGATTCTTGATCAAAGTGTTTTCCCTTGCGGCGACTTCAAGTTTTTGACGGAGTTCAACAGCCTAAAATGATATGAAACTCAACACTTTTGCTTTTTCAAAGCCAACCTGTGGACAATCTTTCTCTTTCTTCGTTGCCTCTTTCCATGCAACTTGCACCTCATGAATCGATGCATTTCCCGTTCCCGAAATCCTCACCGAATCATCCAAAATGTCTCCAGGGAGATTCTAAAACTTTTGTTTGATTGATATATATATAGTTTTTATTTAGAAAGTTTCCAGGGGCTGGGGAGGGGAAATGTTTTTCACCAAATGAGCTGCTTTTTGCATCCAGGGGCTTTTGACTATGCTGAATCGATTGGTGATGGTTTCACACAACATTTCACAACTTTTAACAATGTTTATAACAAATGTACTAAAAACCTCATGTACTTATTCTGGGATGAAGTGAGCAAAAAGTAGCCGTTGTCTTGAGTCATGTCCTCGTTGGTAACTTGTTGGCATTTTGTTATTGTTATTTTGGTTGCTATTTGTTATAAACATTGTTAAAAGTTGTGTAAAACCATCACCAATCGATTCAGAATAGTCAAAAACCCCTGGATGCAAAAAAATCAGCTCATTTGGCGAAAACAATTTTGCCCTTCCAACTACTATAGCACTTGTTTGCCAAGAAAACCAATTCACGTTTAAACTAATAGACTAGAGGTTTGAATAAAGCATAAAAGCTCTTTCTCGCTACAATAACGTTTCAAGTCAAGCAAAATTCCTTTACCACAAATCACTAGAATTGTTTATCACTATATAAATATTAGGTATAATATAATGGGTATAATACTCACAATGATATTGATCTCATTGATGCCGGTCTCCAATTTCAACGCCACATTCCTCCTAATCTCGGCTCGATCCGAGAAAACGGTGACCCGCTCGATCGTTGTTGACTTGCATTCAATTGGTTGCACAGTAGACATTGTTTCTGGAATAATTTCAAAATAATCTTAAAAAGCTGGCAAAACTTTTGAAACACATTCCTAGAATAAATCAATCAATCAATTTCGTCAATGCAGTAAACCAAATGAGGATTTAAAGTTTAAAAGCAATGAATTATAAAAAGCTTGCCGAGAAATTCCTACAAATCATTTTTGAAATAGTTACGAAAACGGCAGAATTTTGTCGAGTTTCGTATATGCTTTGGTTACTTTTCTTTTCATCTCTTTATTTTGTCTCTATCTCCAAAACCCAAAGGAAAACACTACCAAGAAAACAGGGAAAATCTTTGCGAACGGTTGAATTTGACCTTGTTTTTTTTATTTTTGAACTTATCCATCCATTTGTGGCCAATAAGCTCAAATCAGAGGGTAGGCTAATTTCCGCCATTTTATTTGCGCAACAGGGTCATTTGCGCAACGATGGAACAAGAAGATCGCGCCGTGGCAGACTATTTAGATTTGCGTTTTGGTTAAGTTGGCACTAGGTTGTATTGGTTAAGTTGAGTTTATACATGTGTGAACGGATTCAAAACAATGGGGTGGAAGGAGCTGAAAATAAAACAAAATAAAACCGTACTAGAATTTTAAAAAACAAACCATGAGCAAACAATCTAAAAAGGAGGGAACGAACGAGGGGAGAGAGTACTTTAAAAACGCGCTACAAAAACATAATGGATTTTACGAAGGGGAAAGAAAACTTAGCGGGACTCGGCATAAAAGCCGGACAACATTCACAATTCCATAAGGGAAATTGAGGGACATAAGTTTCCGATCCCGCCATGGAATAAAGGAAAATGAAAAGAATGGCAAAAGAGAATTTTTGTGCGGGGTACGGTAGCGCATCCACGTTTTAGAAAGCGCACCGCTCTGCTTTCGCGCAAGTCCCTTAAAAACGTTAAAAAAGTTGCGCAAATGACCCTTTTTGTGAAAACGTACTTGCAGAAATAAAATGGCGGAAATTAGCCTTCCCCAAACCAATTCAAAACACTTTTTTTTAAAAAAACAAACACAAAATTTTATTTTGCTAGTTTTTGGTTTAATCTCTTTTTATCCTTGCTGTTTTATTTTTAAACTTAAGCTTACCTTTGTAAACAATCGATATAAAAAATTTTAAGCTTTAAAGTAAATAAAGTATGACAAAACCTTACAACTTCTTTTAAAAAAACACTATATATGTCGTAGCCGATGAAGGATTTCAGCTACGACATATATATAGATACTTTATTCATGATCTGAGATAAAGTGGACTAGATTTAAGATTAATACACATCAATTCATACGCATAACACGAAAAGGGCCGATAAAATATGTAATATATGGGTAGCACAGATAACGTCATGGATCCACTAGAGCTTCAAGATCAAGATCATCTACAGATAATTTAAGGGTTTCGAGATGATCGGACTCTCTCAAAACTCTGAGGAGTCGATTCAAAATTCTGGCAGTTCTTATTGGAAAAGAGTTATACACAAACTTATTGGAGGTGACTGGAATTTCTAAAACGAAAGAACCTCTCCTTGAACTAACCGTGGGATTAGCTTTGAATAAATCTCGAAAAAGAGGGATAGGTTGCCAGTCCTTTACAATTTTCAAACATTCTATTAAATCCGTGAACAAGCGGCGGTGTCTAAGAGATTTAAGATCAAAAATTTTGAGTCTGTATGTGTAGCTAAAGTATGCAAATTTGGAAAAATCTATTTTCCATCGAGCTATCTTAGTATATCTCTGCTGGATTTTTCTAGGCGAGAGATATCAACTTGTGTATGTGGAGACCAAACTATAGATGCATACTCTAGAATGGGTCTAACGTAAGTGATGAAACACTTTCTGTAAGTGTCAATTTTTGGATAACAAATTGCTTTTAGGATACGACTAGAGACGAAAGAAGCTTTACCGCAAATAATTTCAATGTTTTGAGAAATTTAAAAGGTGGGGAAATATGGACTCCAAGATCTCTGATATCTTTGCCAATTCTGTTTAATGGTATAGAATTAATTTTCAGCGGGAAAATAGCATTTCCAGTGGAGAAATGACGGGATTTCGTAGACGCTAAAGCTAATTTCCAATTATGGGACCATTTTTCAACGAGATCAAGATCTGACATGGCGTCTCTTAAAGAAGCAAGCTTAGCGGCTTCATCTTTGGTGGGGATTTTAAAGGTTAGTTTAGCGTCATCAGCATAAAGCCAGATAGATGAGTCCCCTAGGTGAAAAATTTAATTCAGCTAAATCATTAATGTAAATTGTAAACAGTATGGGACCCAGAATACTTTCTTGGGGTACACCGCTAGAGCAATTAAAGGAAGGGGAAAGAGAATCGTTTAGAAGAACTTTGAAAGTTCGCTGAGTAAGGAAACTTTCAATAACTGAAATCATCGAGGGGCAGATTTTATATGCATGTAGTTTGTGAATTAAGAATTTGATAAGGACAGAGTCGAAAGCTTTAGCAAAATTTAAAAACACAGCTTCAAGCGGATAATGCTTGCGTTGTTTTTGATCCACGGCCTTAAAGAAATCTTGGTAAGCTAAAATAAGCTGGTAAGTGGTGGACTGATTTTTAAGGGAACCAAATTGATAGTCGGAGATAAATTCATGCTTATCAAGATGAGCTGCAATTGTATCTTTGATAATAATTTATCAAAGTTATAGTTTAGTTTATTTTGTGATGCTTTCTTTTAAAATGCGGCTTTTCCACTTCACTCTTTGGGAATTTGTGTTTTTGAAAAACTCCTTTACTTTTTAAATTGGTAATTTAAAATTCCAATCCTAACTCGAATTTTAACTTTTCAAAGAGTTAGATGCAAATTGTTCTATTGGGTTGGGGAGAATGAGTCGGCGCCGAAATTTAAAGAAACTTTTTGCACCCATAAAACCTTCTTTAAATACACGTTTTGTTTCATCAAAATGGTCGACTATTTCTTTACAAAATGGCTTTTGAGAGATTCCACAAAGCTTTTCTTTCGTGGAGTTTATGAACTTCCAAACGCAGCTGGTTAAAATGGCAAAGAGTCCGACTCATCATTTGAACAGTTTCTTTCACATAAACCTCCTTTGGTGTTTATATAAAAAAGATAGAGCACACTCAATTACATAAGTTATCAAATTTTCAGGAAGATCCCTCCAACCGTTTACTCTAGATGACAGTTTATCGATTTTGTGAAAAAATGATCCTTTGTTGAGTTGAGGCGCTGTTTGAGTTCTCTTTTAAATATTATTTTGTAGAGAATTAGTTACCCTTCTACGGATATCAAACGCATATCATTTGACAAAGTCTGCTATAAGTTTTAGAAATTTCTTTGATTTTCGGCGCCGACTCATTCTCCCCAACCCAATATGTAGAAGGATGCTACTTTTCCTTAACATGCAAACGGTAACTAATAAAGTTTTTAAGTAACGAAAACACAACTTTTCCAGTTTTTGAATTTTTTTAATCTCTAGAGGCGACATCACGAAATTCTACTACAGCTCTACCTATTTGTGCACAACATTCACTTACAGTGGCTGTGGGGGACGATAATCGATTTGACTCGCAACTGGACTGTCGTATTATTTGTGGGCAGTAAAAAGTTCAACTTTTATTCAAAATTTCACGCGAATTTAGCGAACACTAAATCTAATCTAAAACATATATGAAGTTCCGGTTTTTTTCCCCAACTTTGAAGCACTATAAATCGAGAACTATAGATTGGAGTCTAAAAGTAATTCTGAAAGTTTGAAACAAGATCTAAATGCTTTTTGAAAAACAAAATAAACCTTGAATTTCATTTTTATGAAAAGAAGTTTGTGAAAACGTTTTTATTACCTTATCTTTTTTGTTTAGATGCAAAAATTAATTTAATTTTGGGAATTTTCTTATCAAAATTGTAGATGCACTGAAATGAAATTTGTGCATTATTTTGGGAAAATCAAGCACGCTTATCATAAAAGATTTATTTCAATTTACATCACAAAACTATAAAATGGAAACTAAGTTATGAAAAAATCAAATTTTAAATCAAATCTTTTGTAAGTCAGACACTAAAAAGTGCTTTTTCTTTAGAAAACTCTCAAAATTGAGGCAATAATTAGCAACAGAGCAAAGAAAAATTTCGTTTCTTTGACGGAATTGCACAAATTCCCCTCACAACAATAGCTTGTCCATTTCACATCTTTCCCCGTTTGTGGATCTTGGACTTTCACCGTATCCTTGCCTGCTTTCTGAAAGGATTTAATTATATTATAGGCAGTCAATGACCAGAAGTTATCTCAACTTCTAGAAAATAGAGTTTACTTTAGGATTTTAAACTATTAGCAGCTATTTAAACCCTTTAAACTATCCATATCCCATTATCAGAAAGGATTCAGGTATAGAAAGTCCTCTAGTTTACCCTTTAGATTTATACATTGCCTCTAGTCCTCTGCTTTCTAAATTTATATATTAATTTGAGAATGAAGAACACGCTTATCACAAGAAATTTATATGAGGAAACTGTAGAGATGGAATTGCATATACGCTAATTTATAACTCATTTGCAAATCTTTCAAAAACAAACATTACAAACAAAAGCATTGCTCGGATCATTATCACATCCACAACCCCAACCAATTGCTGTCGCTGTGCCAATCTAAATAAAAAAATAATATGTATAAAAGCAAAAAAACCAAGTCTTTTTGATTATTTTCTTTACCTTGCCAGCAGATTTTATACAGAAATTGCAATTGTCACCACACTCGGTTGTGTCTTTCTAAATTTGTAACAATCAAAATCGCTAACTAATTAAATTTTCACCTCTAGCGTATGAGAATTTCCCTTTCCCAGACGTTCATCATAGTAACATTGAATAGACAAAGAAACACCAATTAAAGCGTAAAAAATGAGAACACTTTTAAACATGATTTATGAAGACAAAGGAAAAATAGTCTAGTAGCTTAAAAAGTGAAATGCGCTCAAAGCTATCAAAAGCTATCAAAGTGATAAAAATTAATGCTACCAAAGCCAGGAAA